ACTGGGAGAGAAGCCACTGAGTATTCCTCCTCTGGAGATGTTCACCTGTGAGCGTGCTCTGTTGTGTCAACTTTCACCTGTTGTGCGGGCTCACAAATTACACTGTTGTTGGTACTGCTTTCAGCTCCACCTTAACCGTGGATATGCTGGCAGTTGGCCCTGGTGTCTCTCAGGTATTGTTTTCACCAGGCCACCAGCATAGATCCACTGAAGTCATGTCCCAGGACTGCAGTAATCATGCATCTGACCCCTCTGTGGGCGCTATGGGGGCAGCTCAGACTCTGGCCTGGCCCAACCCCTGTGTGTATGTGCCCACAAAGTCCACAGCTGCTAAAACTAGACCCATCTCATTGTCTGTTCGGATGTTCTGCAGCTCTGAGTTTACAAAGCCGGTCACAGGGCTGTAAATCTGAGCTTCGCACGGCCGCGAGGAGAGATTTCAGCTCTTCTTCCTTCGTTGCATGGCCCCTGGGGCTCAGGGGTGACTTCAACCCCACCTCTGCATGTGGGTCACCCACCAGTGTCTGCTCCTGAGGCTGCCCCGGAGCACAGGTGCCCGCCCAGGCGGGAGGGGGCAGAGGCTGCGAGTGACCGGGACACACGGGCCTACTCTAGCGGGAGCCCCTCCTAATAGCTACTGTATTTCTGACTATGATGGCTCTTGCTGTGTGTTCCCTCCCAAGACAGGAGCCCAGATTTTCTGGGTGCTCTGCTCTGAGTGGCCCTTCCTTGAGAAAGGGTCCAGTTGGGGGTGATGGACATGTAGGTGTGTGGCCAGAAGCCTCAGTCCCTGCTCTTGCTGGGACAGGAGAGGAGGACCCCACGTGCAAGAGCAGAAGGGACCACAGAGTGGGCTGGGGCGGCCAGGAGAGATGCCAAGCAGAGGTCTTAACGGGTAGTCCTGCCATCATCCCCATTTGACAGCTGAGGAAATCGAGGTTGGTTAGACTTGTCTAGGAACAAGGAGCTGGCCCGTTGCAGGGCTGGGATTCGAACCCATGGGGGCTCTAAATTCCTGTCCAGGAAGACCCACTTGTGGAACCTGTCTCCTCCCACTTGGCACTGAGCCTGGAGACCCTCCCCAAGGTGCTCATGGCCTGGTGGGGGTGGGCTCTGCTAGGGACTGGGTGGGAAAGGAAGGGCCTCTGGCGGGGGGGGGGGGGC